AACAGTTCGTTTTTTTCCACGTTTTTTTGGGTAAAGCTGCGCCTGGTTTGGCCACAGCCATCAGCTGAGGACTGGCAGCCATGGGATGGCAAGGTGCCAGAGGAAGCCCTGCCCCAGGGTCTCTTGGCAAAGCTATAAGGAATGAGGGAGGACGGTAGGGCTGGCCTTCGCTTCTTTTGCTTGCAGATGACCGAGACAGCAAAAACTTCTTTGCCTTTGCCTTGTAGGATCACGCATTTCATGTCCTGCGTCGCTTGTGTTTTCATAACCCTTTTCCATCCTTTTCCATCCTTTTCCTGGCTCTTTTTGGTCCACAGATTTGATGCTCACGCACCTTGGGGTAAATTTCCTGGATGGTTTGCCAAGGTTCTGAGGTTGAGGCCACCTGTGCCACTGCAGCAGCTTTAGAGGCCTATGCAGCCTATGCATGATCTGTGGCAAGTTATGGTTGTCTTCAGGCCAACTAGCAAATCAGGAAACGATGCCAGACTTTCTATCAAACAGCAAGGGCTTTGGTCCCCAGTTCATCACTTGGACCAGTGCAATATTGGTGGAGAATCGGATTGTTTTCTGACATTTTCTGACCATCAATTTCCATTATGCCATTGACACTGGCCATCAATGACTGTTATCGGCCATTAATGGCCATCAGCATGGCCATCAGCAGGCCATCAGCATGGCCATCAGCAGGCCATCAGCAGCCAGGTCTTTCTCCGAATCTGCTACTCTGCTCGCAAGCTCTGGAAGACCCACGACCAGAGCGACCTCTACCAGCTATGCCAGAAGTTGGCCAATTGGGAGACTCACGAGTAACACAGGGATGGAGCATGCAATATTATTAATATCATGATATCATGCACCTCACAGCACCTCACATCATGACTTGTATGTAGTTGGCTGGGCGTGTGCAGAAGGCCGCGTCACGAAACAGTGTTTTTGCTAGTTCACTGCACTGGCGCCACAGCGAGAGCGCATTTTTTCCTTTTTTGCTGTTTCTCGCCTCAGTGAAACACTTTTTTTTCGTTTTTTTTTTTTGGCATGGTGTTGGGTGGGGGGTGGGGGGGGTGTAATAACGTTCTTTGGACTTGAACACATCTGGGATGTTACGTCATGAGATCTTTTCTTGGAATTCAAAACATCTGGCATGTTACGTCATGAGATCTTTTCTTGGAATTGAACACATCTGGGATGTTACGTCATGAGATCTTTTCTTGGAATTGAACACATCTGGGATGTTACGTCATGAGATCTTTTCTTGGAATTGAACACATCTGGGATGTTACGTCATGAGATCTTTTCTTGGAATTCAACACATCTGGGATGTTACGTCATGAGATCTTTTCTTGGAATTGAACACATCTGGGATGTTATGTCATGAGATCTTTTCTTGGAATTCAACACATCTGGGGTGTTACGTCATGAGATCTTTTCTTGGAATTGAACACATCTGGGATGTTATGTCATGAGATCTTTTCTTGGAATTGAACGCATCTGGGATGTTACGTTATGAGATCTTTTCTTGGAATTCAAGACATCTGGGATGGTACGTCTTGAGATCTTTTCTTGGAATTGAACACATCTGGGATGTTACGTCATGAGATCTTTTCTTGGAATTGAACACATCTGGGGGGGTTACGTCATGAGATCTTTTCTTGGAATTGAACGCATCTGGGATGTTACGTTATGAGATCTTTTCTTGGAATTCAAGACATCTGGGATGGTACGTCTTGAGATCTTTTCTTGGAATTGAACACATCTGGGATGTTACGTCATGAGATCTTTTCTTGAAAATACACCTGAAAGTGTCTCAACTGAAGTAGTTTTTTTCGACGTCAAAATATGACACACCAAGATATAAACATGGACATGTGAAGTTGCACATGCATTTCGAATGGCCAGCGTGGAGGATTTGCCATATCATCATTCATACATTTGTATCAAAACTGAGATGAAAGTGCACGAAACCATACGGCCGTCTATGAGCGCCCGACCATGTAGTTGGATATTTGCAGATTTGCAACCAAATTGCCAACTTCTCAAATGTTCCGCCTTCATCCTCTTTCCATGTTCATGGCAGCACATTCCAGTTTTAGAGACAATCAGGAGAGCATCACTGCTGCAGATGACGTGGATCACCCAGTGAAGTCCCTCCGTACGAATTTTAGCCGGCCCAGACTTGAGCACGTTGAGACGAAACGGCAAGTGGTTTACTATAGTTTACTATGTACTTTCTAGTTCAATCTAGTTCACTAGGCAGGCCATTGAGTACGTGGTACGTAGAAATTGAGTGAAACAACGAAGGGAATCTGTGGCTACTTTCGGCCCTTGCATGGTGATAAGATTTCGTGGTCCTGTATACACTGTATACCAGGCAGTCATTTATAAGATTTATATGGTTACCCAATGTTACCCATATGTTTCTTGGGACACCACCGGCATCCACCGGCACCGAAACATTCTTCGAGGCTCTTGTTGGCTTTGGCCATTGTGGATGACCTCCCGGAAGCTGCCTTGGAGCAGGTAGGGCAACGCTTTTTGGCGATGATCCATCAAGATTCCATCAAGACTCCAATAAAAACAAGTAGAAACTACACCATAATTTATGTAATTTGTGGGTCTCTCTGAAAATGGTGATCCCTAAATCCACTGGTTTTCGTATTGATGAATTATCAGATTATCATTTTCCCTTCCATCTTCTTCCCATGGTGCCATTTTATGATATTTCAAGATATTTTGAGTACCGTGTACCCCATTTTCAGACAGATTTATGACAGGATGCCTGGCCTGGCCCATCCTTGCCAGGTGCCTGCGTTGTCGCTCCTCAACGAGCAATGTGCTCGTCGGGCGCACGATGAACTGAAGGCCATGGGTCACAAGGAGGACCGGAAGGCGCTGAACATTTGGAGAAAAGCTGAAGTTGAAATACACATGTTGTAAAACATATGTAAACCTGTAAACATGAAGGTTGACAAAATTTTACACAGTTTCAATTGTTGTAGTTCTTGGAGTATTCTGGCTGATATGGATGGAAGCAATGGCTGCTGTTTTTCAGGAGCCACAAATCATGAATGCGGCTCGCAAGCGTGTTGCAACATTCTTGAGTCGCCTGGCAAGTTGGAGGAAGAGCTCACACCAGTGCACACATATGCAAACCTTCCAAAGCTTCCAGAGGAAAGCTCCAGCAATGGAGTCAAAGTTGGACAGCACACACGGTTTACAGTACTTCTTATATTAGTGTTGTTGAAATTTGTTGAACAAGCTTGATACGACCATTGAATGCCCTTTGATTATTTAACATATGTAGCTATGGAAAATGGCCGTTTTATAGATGATGTATGATGATTTAGGTATCAAGATGCATTGAAATTATTTAGACATAATAAACCGTGGTGTCTTTCCATAGTTGTTTGTATGCAGCCAGCACCCAACGGCACCAGGTATTTCGAGCAGTTCCGCACCAAAAACCCAGGAGCTGATGACCCCTGAGCCATCGCGCCCGTGCGTCCGTGAAGAGTGCTGCGCTGAGTTCACCCTCAGCGATGAGGACTGGGGGGATCCCATGAGGGTCTCTGGGCACAGCTTGAGATAAGTTATTTGAGGTATCTATTGTTTTCAGTATTACTATGTAGTACTATTATATTGTATATGATTGTATATGGTTATTGAATATTTTTGTTATTCTTGTTATTGTTTACTTCATCCATCTTTGTCCCATATGGTACCAGTAGTGGTTCCAAATCACACTTTGAGAGATCTTTTTTTGTGGGGAAGTTCAGCTCTGGGTGCTTGACGAGGGTCTTACTCTACTGTTGCTGGATGGCCAAGCGATTTTGCATCTGCAGTTTTGAGGGGTGATTGGAGGAAAGGAGAGAAGGTATTGCAATCAGGTAGGGATGGACTGTTTTCCTGTTGGCACTCCTGGAGGAGTTTGACTACAAGAAGTGGGCGTCTTTGATGCAATCAGAGAATTCTCGGATACTGTTGCTCTAGGTATAAAGCAAAGTGCGTAGACTCTGTTCCCTTTGCAGGGTATTTCGATCCTTGTAAACAAGCCTGTCACCGTCTGCCACCCATTGAGCTTTCAATTTCTCTTCAGAAACACACTGCTGCCCAGGTCAAGGACAGTGCTCTTCCCATGGTCCATGCACTGCGAACCATTCGCACATTGCGTGCGCTGCTCCAGAGCCGTGGTGGTTGGAAGCAGCTGGAGAAAGACATGGAGAAGGGACCGCAGGCGCAAAGGATAAATCTTGTGACAATTCTGAGAATTTCTGACTTGTTCCTTCCAAAGCCTATCTGAACCTATCTGAACCTATCTTAACCTATCTTAACCTATCTTAACGAACCTATCTTAACCTGTTCATCTTCCTTCTCATTGAGGCCTACATCGATGTGGTGCAGGCGTTGCAAACCACAAAAAAGCCCCAGCTGGACCTGGCAAAGTGGCTGGACGTGAAGGGGCCATATGAGGCCGGGAGCTGTCCAGCCCCAATGGCACTGCGGCACTGCACATCGCACCATCGAAAGATCCTGTTGAATCCTCTAAATATTGTAGATGGCAGCTTCCTCCCGATTGAATACAAGCTGCCAAAACATCAAACACGTTTGTCAACTGGAAAATCACCCATTTATAGATTATTGTCATCCATCAAAACCCTCCATGTTTAGGGGATTTTCCATTGCAACGTTTGATTACCAGATGGCCAGATGGTATTCAAAGATTGGGAGACTTGTGCTTCACAGGCGAATCGCGTGCTTGCGACCATGGCAGCACAGGCGTTCCTTCATCAGCAATTTGGTTGCAAGTGGACCGACATGACATATTAGCATATACTGTGTATATATATATACGTATATATATATATATAAATAAATATATATATATATATAATTATATATATATATTAGCAAACCAATCTGATTATACCTGATCATGATGTTACTACATGTTACTCATATATTATAAAACCATAAATAATACCATAAATAATACCATATAAAACCAATTAGATATTACTATAAATCATTATGAAGATTTCAAACATATCAGCTCGGATTTTTTCCGATGTCAGGTCCTCCAAGCTCCGTCGCACTGTGGATGCGGGTGGCGCTCTCGCAGAGCCACTGCCGGACGTCCGCGACGGAGAGACCCTGCGAAACCTGGCGGTGCTTCGACCCAGATCCAGAGATTGGATTATCCAATATGGCCATTTCCAGATATTGGATTATCCAGATATAATACCATATAAATTGGGGATATCATCCAATATCATCCAATATTGGGATATGACAGCTTGTTGTGTTGGGACAATTAGGCTTGAGATGGCGCAGATTAGATGAAGAACCTGGCAAAATTGAAGGTGGACATTCGAATGGCCATTTACGACGAGCGTGTGGCGCGAAAGAACGAGGCCTTGGGGTACCTTATGGATCCTTCTGGTACCTTTCATGGACATTTCATCGAGCTTTTCATGAGCGATTGCGATATGTTCATTCTGCTTACTGTGCCAAGATCCATAGTTGATGGGAGTTGAAGCGACTGTTGTGAACCAAACACAGTTGGCATCAGTTGGCTAGTGTTGATTTGTCAATAAGTGCCATGAAGTGGATGCAACAGGAGTGGGCCAGTAAGGGTCGCATGCTCACCTTACGTTTGGCCGCAACTGCTGGCGTTGCCGAATACGAGGCCATGGATTCAGCCCGGGAAGGGCTGAGCACCGGTGGTGGGCGGAATTCTCTCTGGATTGCAGCCATGTTGATAGTATGATAATCAATGAATATCAATATATAATATAGATTAAATTAGATTAATATAGTATGTCATAATGAAAGGCTATGACATCTAGACTATGTACCGCAGTCAATGTTCAACTCGCGAGAGCCGCGATGAATCGATTTGGGTCACCAATCGTATCAAACTCATCTTGAGGAACCAGCATCGTTGATACATTCTTCCAGGCAATGTTGGGCCGAGCCACCCACGTGCATGGCCTGGACAAGTACACTTTCTGGGGCCTTTGGGATGCCAGCAAAAGGGACAAGGCGAAGGCTTGGAGAAGCTTTCAACCATTTTCAGAAACATGCGAAGATTACAGATGGATACAGCAGGGTTTCAATTTATTCCAATGTTTCTTTGAAGATGCGCACTTTTATGCCCCAATGTTTTCTCCTACCCCTACTCGCATCCTGAGAAAACGAGTTTCCAGCTATTTTTCCTGGCGGTGAGAACAAAACTCGAACTGGACAAGGCTCCATGACCCGAAGATAACCGCATCTGTTTTCTTGCAGCGATATCTGCTTCCGAGATCTTGCCAGCTCTGATAGATGCTGATGATTGGTGATGTTTCCCTGCCTGCCAGATGTCTGCATTCCTGCGCACTGCAAACCACGGTAACTTGCCTCAGTTTCAGTGCCGAGATTCCGGAGTTGCCAGGAGTTGAGGTTCGCATTAGCCCGTTGCTGAAGCGGTAATGGGTCTTCCACCCAGGGTTCATTTACAAACAGTGTACTGAAATGCTACTAACATGTCTACAATCAACAAGTCTTATGTTGTGGGTGTCTACCTGGACTTGTTGCTGAAGTCGCTGGAAATAGGTGAAATAGATTGAAATAGGTCAGCAGGAGGGGGAGCAGGGAGCAGGGAGCAGGAGAAGGGAGCAGTCGACTCGATTATTTCCTCCTCACATTTGTGAAGCCAAGTCAGTTCATGTTAGCAAATGTCGTTGAATCTAGAACCTAGAGGAGCATCGACTGACAACAGGCGCCCTTTTTCGCTCCCGCGTCTTGACTCAGGTTTTTCTTACAAGCACCAGCCCTGAGAGAAATTATTCGTGGGGAATGGCGGGCAGCTCTCATTCTACAGCTGTACAGCTCAGCCCGTTCATTGCCATAAGCGATGGTTCTGCCTGGTATTTTGCCATTGAACCAGAGCTTGTGCACTATTGTCATATAGTGCATATAGTGCATCCTTGGTGTTCACACTGGATGCTTTTACTTCGTACTTGGGAGATGTCTCCTGACTTGATGTACAGCATTTGACAACCCAATAAAATCAGCGGCTTGAATTTGGCTTGAATGTGCCTGGACCTATCCATTTGGACACGACTTTTTCATGTTTGTCATGAGAGGGACTTCAAATTATTATTCAATGTGACTGCTGGCAGGTGATGACTTTATTCCACTTTCACCATGTGAAGCCACTTCCAGCAGAGGAGATGCGGGTTGTTGTTTTTCCAACCTGGATCATCTGGGAAAAGAGGGATGAGACTTCTTGATCGACTACTTGAATCAACCTGGCAATTGCTTTGTTCATTTCTGGTCGACATACCAGACGGAATTGCAAGGAGCAACTGAATCTCGCACAGTCGTTGTCAACCAAGTGGCGCTCCCAGAATTTGGGATGGACTTCAGAATGCCTTTGAAACTACTCTAACTTCAAGTAGAAGCCCGGTCTGAACTCCACTACAGTATTGATGCCCTCCAAGAAGTGTCAAAAAGCATGAGAGGATGAAATATGATGAAACAATTCGCCCTTGGCGAAGAGTGTCAAGGATAAACCTTGCATCAATCCTGTCCAGTGGACCACACTGCTGTGTGCTTAGGACCCAGCCAGAAAGCCACGTGAAGGCAGGGCCCAAAGTTGAGCAGCCAACATTTCACAGATTCGGAAAGAATGAGAAGATCATGGAAGACACCTTTCAGTTTATTTTCATACTTCGTTAAATCAAAAAATAAAACAGCTTTTCATTTTGTGGTTTCATCATGTTTCATCCCTTTTTCATCACTTTTTTCACCTTGCCACAGGTGTTTCGTGGACTCCTGGCATATGGTGAGAAACTTCGAAAAGCGCTGCTTGACGAGCCTGGTCTTGAGCCACTAAGGCCCAAGGGGCCATTGACCTGGAACGGCCAACAAAAACGGATAAATAGATGATAGATGACCCTGTTTACTCTGCTCGTTTTTTGTGATTGGTCATTCTTTCTACAGTATCTCGCAGGTTGCTTTTTAATGTGGGGTAGAACTGTGCTGGATATGGTTTCCTTACTCAGCTGTGCTTTGGAATGATGACATTTCTGGTGTCTTGGCAGGTTGAGTCTTCGCGTCTTGCTTCGAATTGCAAAGCACCTGCAAAAGCGACCAGATGACGTTCATGGCGCTTTGTCGCTTGTCAAGATATTGGACAAGTTTCCCAAAATGAAGACCTGCCCCAATATTTGAATCAAGAAATCTCTCAGCTAAGGAATCGTGCCTTCTCGGCATGCCTGCGTTTCCTTCCGAAGTCCTCTCAAGAGGCAGTGAGCAAATGGGGTTTCCAAAAATGGAGGTAACCCAACAGCTGCTGGATGGTTTAGCTGGGGGTACTGGTGTCGTACCCCTATTTTGGGACCCCCCCAATTGTTGTTTCAGTCGAAGGAAGACCTGAATCGCTGGAGCAGTGTGTCAGCGGTGGATCTTTTTGAGGCAGTTCTGGCCATGCTGCAAACGACACTTCGATCTGCAGGCATGGACCAACAGACCCGCTTCTTCTAAAACAACAGCCAGGAAGGATAGGAATGAATTTAGTTGTGTCTTTTACTTGTTGACTGTATTCCAAGTTTCTCAAATGTTTTCCCTTTTTCCTCTTTTGGTGATAGCATCATCAATTTTCCCAGCCCTTCTGGACCTTATGAACCTCGCAAAAACAACACCTTAAACCATCTTAAACCAATAGATAGATGATGCTGGGGAACAAACCAATCTACGGCCTGGACAGCCACCTGAAACCAACCTGCCAGGCTGCCACACATCCCCTGTCGACCTTGCAAAGCCTTGGGAACATCTCAAACCAACCTGCTTTGCAGCCGCAAGAACCAGCAACATGAGCCTTCCCACCCCCAGTGGACATGTTGTAGCCCTCTACGAGCAGCCGCAAAAGCGGATTGTTTGCGTGCCACCATGCATCAAAAGCATTCAAAAGCCGCTTCAGGCGCACAGACACTTCCCTGGACCTGGACCATCTCTGTCGATACTGCGGAGTCGCGCACTCGCCGCGAGGTGCAATCCATCTGGGTCGGCCGAAAATGCACCCCAAAAGACCTCTGATGGTTGAGATAGGATCTCATATTATCACTCATATTATCACTCATACTATCTCATATTTTTCACCATAAAATGAGGTATGTCCAAATTTTCAGATAAAATGATAACTCCATTTGGTTGTCGAAATCACGAGCCAAGTGGACCCACATCGTTTCGATATCGTTTTGTGTATCAATCATATTTGATCGCTAGATGTTTCATGATTTTTGATGATTCTTGATATGTTTTTCCTTTCAATGGTTTTTGATGTTTTTTGGATACCCAATCTCAACCCAGGACCTTCGTGACCTGGAGAACATGGCCATTCAGGTGGGTGGATTAAAACTGGGGTATATCGTGGAGAATGTAATTTTGACGATTTTTGACGTAATATGATGTAATTTGCAAAACCACATTTTTTTTGACGACGCAAACGCGCACAAAGTCTTACTCTTCTCGATCTGACACTGAAGATTCAAAGTGTTTTGGACTTTTGACGCTGCGGGCCTTGGAGGCTCGTATGATGGGAGGAGGAGAATTTGTGGATGAAGCAAGGGAACAGGCAGATGCCGACAGGACCAAAGCCTTATGAAGGGCCTCAATTCTTAGCTCCAACGGTATGAAGCAGTCATTGTCGTCATTGTCACTGAATACCTTTTCCGGTTTTGCCAGACCCAGACAGACAGGCCATCCCAGGCCACGTCTGCTGGACTGTGCTCGCGCAGGAAGAAGCAGCGTGAAGAATGGCTACGAGGTCTAAGGAAGTTGGGACAAGAAGGTTTTTCCAGGAGCCATGCGAGAAGAATTCAGAGGTACAGCTTCACCATGACTCATAGTTTTGCAGTATTTTACAATCCATATTTTTCATTCCTTTCCAAGCACTATGCTAAATCATGCTAAATCCGACAACATTGAGCACCAAAGAATTCAAGCAGATGACATGTCTCGCCCTTCGCAGGAAGGCCCCAGATGCTGCGGTAGTGCGCGATGGGCATCTGCACATAGGAGATGTTCGTTGCCCATTGCGCAAGCCGACTAGGCGAAGCCAACAATATACACATCCTCTCCACTGACATCCTCAACAGACCCAAAAACCTTGAAAAGAGATGTTAAAACTTAAAACAACCAGTGCCTGTTATACCGTAATGCTTCCGCATAGCCGTTAATGTTTCTATGCATGTCTCATGTATTCTCATGTCATGTTGAAGAGGCCGGAGCTGGTTCCACACGTCTCTTTTGTGGACATCCCGCAGCAGATGGAGATTCTGAAGGACTGGCAGGGTCGCAGCATGTCGCAGCACAATCTTTGAGCAACGGCTCGAACAGTGGAGACAAGCCTCGTAAGCCTCGTCCTGTGCTCGTGAGGACATGCTATTGGATTGGTCCTTGGGTTGCTCCCTGAGAATCAGTGCTGTCACATTTTGCTACCTCATTGATCTGACTTTTAAGAAATATCTTTCTCATTTGGTCAATTTTTGCCCTATTCGTGCGTGATCCTAGAAACTTGGTCTTTGTTTTGCAGACAATTGAGGTCATCACTTGCTTCTCGTTGGCAATCAGGGAGTTGGGAAGAACAAACTCACTGACCGCTTGCTCGGTCTGTTGCAGTGTGAGCGCGTGCCTCTGCAGCATCTCAGGCTTTGATTCCTGCCTGGGTTGAACCACTGCGATGCATCGAGTGCAGTGATTTTATCAAACCATCAAGCCTACTCAACTGAACGTTCTCCCAAAAGTTAATGATGTGGCATGATGTGGCGTTGTGTCAGAACAATCAAAGCTGACAGCATGATTTGATTCCAACTCCAAACTGATTCGCCCAACTACACGTTTCACATCGTTTCACTAGGGCTCGAGACGCACGGAGACTGGCATTTGTTCTTGCCACTTTCATTGGCCCTACTTCTCTACCAAGGAGTATGTCCAACTGCATCGGGACACCACATTCCAAAGTTTGACCCTAGCTCCAAGCTTCAAATCTGGTGTGGTGGTGTGGGAGGATTCGCCCTTGCTTCGAGCTGTCAAGTATGGGCGTTGTTTGGTAGTTGATGAAGCCGATAAGGCTCCAGTGGACACTTGGATTTGCTGAAGATGAGCTGAACATTTTCCCCATTTGGGGCATTTGGGAACATCTGGGAATATGTTCGAATCTGTTCGGGTTTTCGTTTTGTTTTAATGACCTCCTGTGGCACCAAGGAAGTGGTCTGTGTTCTAAAGGCCCTGTCTGAAGATGGTGAGCTAAGCCTCTCTGATGGCCGGACCATCGTAAGACCGGACAGCCCCGCAAAACATGGAAACGTAGTGCGGATGTCACCAGATTTCCGGCTCGTGGTCTTGGCGAATCGACCAGGATATCCATTTATGGGTGTCTTTTCCTTGATTCAGTTCGCACGTCTTAATTTCAGTCTATTTCCTGTTTCTGTCATTTTTCCCGAGAGCGTCTGAGCTAAGGGTTCTTCTAATAGTGGGGGGGGAATATCCATTTTCATGGGTTGTCTTTTCCCTTGATTTCACGTGTCTAACAACCATTTTCACATCTCACGTCTTCAGCTTCACATCTTCACATTCTAAAGGGGCGGCACAGCGGCACAGGGCCAGCGGGCACAGACGCAGCAGCGGCACAGCGGCCACAAGCATCTTCACTCTCGGAGGAGCGCAAGAAGGCCAAGAGTAGCGTGCAGTACAACGCTGAGGAGAAAGCTACAGCGGGCGAGAGAGGGAAAAGGAGCAGCGGAATGCTTCCAGGACACAGGTATACAGCGGCAGTGCAAATGAGCAGCGGACGGCAAGGCCAGGAGATAGAGGCAAAAGCCACAGAGGACACAGTGATACAGCGGGCAGAAATGAGCGAAGAGAAAAAGAGGGGTACTCATGAGAAGAGGGAAAAGGAGGCACAGTCGCGTCTCGTTTTTTGCCTTTCTTCGCTTTTGAAACAAGCCAGGATAGAGAGGAAGAGAGGAAAAATTTAAGAACAGGAATAAAAGAGGCGAAGTACAAGAGGAAAAAGAGGGAAGAAGAGGAAGAAGAGGAAAAGACGGAGCGGAAAGACGGGAAAAAGAGGAGCAAAGAGGTAAAAGTAGGAGGATGAGGAAAAGAGGAAAAGAGGAAACCCGATGAGAGAAGCTAGGAACAGCAGGAGAAGATGGCGAAGAGGGCACAAGCGGCGCGGCGAGCACAGAAAATAAGAGGAATAAAAAGCAATCAAGAAGCATATAAGCGGCACAGCGGCGGCAGGGCGGCACAGTAAAAGAGGCAGACAGAGGAACAGAGGAGGAAGAGGCACAGAGGGAGCAGGAGGAGAATGAGGAAAGAGGATCAAAGAGGCGCAGAAAAGCGGAAAGAGGAGGAAGACGGAAAAAGGGCGTAAGAGGAAAAGAGGGAAAAAAGCGGAAAAGCGGAAAAGAGGCAAAGAGGAGCAGAGGAAAGCGAGGAGTCAGAGGCGAAGAGGAAAGAGAGGAAAAGAGGCGAACAGAAAGGCAGGAAGAGGAGAAGGGAAAGGGAAAAGGGAACAGGAGAAAAAGAGGAGAAGCAGGAAATAGAGGCCGAAGAGGAAAGCGGAGAAGCGGAGGAATAAAGAGGAGAACAGGAGAATATAGATGGAAAGGTGGAATAAGAGCGAGAAGAGGGAGAAGTTTAGGAAAACGAAGCGGGAAAAGAAAGGAGCGAACATTGTTTTTCCTTTATCTCACTAAGTTATGGTTAATACAGAGGCAAGAGGTTAGGAAGCGGAAATAAGGAGAAGTAGGATAAGAGGAGATAGGAGAAATAGGGAGGAGAAGACGGAGATAGAGGAGCAAGGAGAAGCAGCGAGCGATAGTAGGAGAAGAGGAAAAGAGGGAAAAAGTGGAGGAAAAGTAGGAAAAGTAGGAAATAGAGGAACAGAGTAGGGCCAAAGAGGGCAGAAGAGGGAAAGCGGAAGGGAGAAGCGGCAGAAGAGGAAACAGGCGGAAAAGAGAATAAGCGAAGAAGCCAAAGCGGAAAAGGCAGGAAAAGAGGAAAAAGGTGAGAAAGAGGTAAATATAGCACAGGAACAAGGTAGGAGACAGAGCGCACGAAGAGGCAAAAGGGAGGAGAAGGCAAATGAGGCAATACGGAACCAGCAGGAAAAGAGGAGGAATCAGATGGAAAAGAAGGAATCAGAGGAGATAGAGGAAAAGGAGGAAAACAGAGGAAAAGAGGAAGAGGAGGAAATTAGAGGAACGCAACAGAATAAGGGAGAAGGGAGATAGAGAAGGAGGAAGAGGAAACAAGACATAAGGGAAAGAGGAAAAGAGGTAAAAGAGGAAAAAGCGAGACACAGCGGGAAAAGAGGAAACAGAGGAGTAAGTCCAGGAACAAGAGGAATAGTAGAGGAGAAAGAAGGAAGCATAGAGGAAAAATGATTCTCCTTTGGCCACTCCTCCTCGCGGAGGAAGAAGGAGGCTTAGAAGAGGAGGTAAGTAGGGAAAAGTAGGGAAGGGAGAACAAGGACGGAGGAGGAAAGAGGAAACAGAGGAAAAAGGTGAGGGCATACAGGAAAGAGGAAAACGAGGCCAAAGAGGAGAAGAGGCCAGAAAAGGGCGGGCAGACAGGAATCAGAGGCGATAAGAGAGGATAGCATAGAGGCAAAAGCCCAGGAAAAGAGTAAAAAGAGGAGAAGAGGAAACGCAGGAGGAAAAGATAGGAAAGAGGCAAGAAGCAGGAAATAGAGGAGAAGCAGTGACAGAGGAAATAAGAGGAGGAAATAGGAGCAGCACGAAGCCAGCACAGCGGAAAAGCGGAAAAGGAACAGCGGCACAGGGAGAAGAGGAAAAGGGGAGAATGTAGGAAAAAGAGGGAGGAATTAAGAGGAAAAGGGAGAAGCGAATGGAGTGTAATAAGAGTGAAAAGACAGGCGACGGACAAGGAGGAAAAAGGAAAAGGGAGGAGAGGAAAAGCGGAAAAGAGGAAAAGGAGGGAATAGAACGATGAAGAAGGGAAGAAGATTGGAGGAAAGAGGAATAAAGAGGCAAAAGCAGGAGAAGAGGTAAAAGAGAAAATGGAGAGAAAAGAGGGAACATATTTGAGGATAAAGAGGAGGAAGAGGCAAAGAGAAAAAGGGAGGGAGGAGGAGAAGAGGAAACAGAGGAGAGAGAAAAGATGGTAGTAAGAGGTGAAAAGGGAGGAAAATGAGGAAAATGGAGGAAAATGTTTAGGAGAAGAGGACAAAGAGGAAAAGAGGCAAAGAGGACAAAGAGGCGAAGCGGAGAGGCAAAAGACGGATACCGCCCAAGGGAATTAATGCTTTCAGGGGAAAGCGGAGGATAAAGGAGGAAAAAAAAGGCAGGAACAGCGGAACTACAGGAGGAAAAGCAAAGGAAAGAGCGGGAATTAAGAGAGAAGGAGGAAAAAGGCAAAAAGAGGAAAAGTAGGAAAAGAGGGAACATGAGGAAAAGCCGGAACGTACAGCAGGGCAGAAGAGGAAAAGAGGAACAGCACGAGGAACGAGGGAAGAGGCAAAAGAGGAGCACTTTGAGATAAAGGCGGAACAGAGGAGTATCACGAGAAACGCGACTGAAAACAGAATGATGAGAAGGAGGAAAAGGCGCAGAGTAAAGAGGGAAAGGGAGTAAAAGAGGAAAAGAGGTGAACAGAGGGAGGAAGGCGGAACAGGCCTGACGAAGGGAAAAGAGCGGTGGCAAAGAGGCAAAGGAGGAACAAGAGGCAACAGTAGGACAGTCGTAAAATTGGAGAAGAGGAACATGAGCAGATGAACAGGCAAAAGAGTAACGGCACGTGTAGAAGGAGGAAGCGGCAGGCTAAGTCTTAACATGTAGGCAATCGGAACAGGAAAAGGCGGCACAGGAGGAACAGGCCAGTGCAACACATGGAACAGATTCAATCTTCACAATATTCCTAATCTTCACATATTCACATCTTGTCATCCTTCAACATCTTCACATCTTCTCATCTTCACATCTTCACATCTTCTCATCTTCACATCTTCACATCTTCACATCTTCACATCTTCACATCTTCACATACTATTGAAGGCGCGGGGCAGTGCCCTCTTGCTCTCTCCTTCTTTTCTATTTCTCTCTTGAAGGGGCGGGGCAGTGCCAACGAGAGGGCACGAAACGCAACCCTTTCGCACGAAACGAGGTTGCACGAAATGAGGTTCGATCGCCAAAAACTGCGGTAAAATTGCATTTCACAACTTCCGCGGCAACCCTTTCGCACGACATGTGAGTTCGATCGCTAAAAACTGAGGTAAAATTGCGATTTTGAAAGCTTCTGTATGTAAAAGGGTCTGTGTGTAAAAGCTTCTGTGTGTAAAAGCTTCCGAGTGTAAAAGCGTCTGTGTGTAAAAGCTTCTTTGTGTAAAAGCGTCTTTGTCTACTTTTGCTCAGAATCTGACATAGCATATCTATCTCCTTTCTGCTGATCATCTGCATCATCTTCAATGAAGCGTTCACCTACAATGTCTTTGATACTACTTACAAGAGAGTAACATGCTCTTCTACGCTCTCGGGCCATCCGTCGTCTAGTTTTCAAGGTTGGATTCTATATGGTGGATTTCAACTCATGACACATTTCTATCTTTAGATCGCCCCTTGTAGCGTTGTTTTTCAGATCAAGCGGTGCCACGGCCAGGTCACGACTTTTTCAAGCTCTGCGGCGATGTCTTCAGCTGCCACGTGGTCGACAATCCAGATATCGCCAGCGAAGTGGCGCTGCTGCGGAGCGTTGGTCCTGACGTCCCCAAAGACAAAGTGCTGCAGCTCTCTGTCCTCTTTGCCGAATTGAGAGATCCATGGCGTTTAGAATAAATGGAGCTGGCGCCCCCATGCCGCCGACCCCTGGGACCAATTGGCTCAAACAGTGTCTTCTGAACCGAACAAAAAAAAACAGTGTCCAAGCGCCCGGGGGCTCTGTCTTCAACCAGTGCCGCTGCGCTCAATCCCCCCTACCAGCACAGCTCGGGTCCAAGGACGGTGCCGCAGGGCCAAAACACCATGGCAGTGAAGGACGGATCGGGCTCACCTCCTTCAATTATATTGTGCAGCGGGCAGCGGGTTTATCAGACCCTTGATAGACATCTTAGCCATGCATCTTTAACGGCAAGCCAACAACGTTTGCAAGCAAATTTGTGTTGCCAGTTGATGACGGGCTTCTCTGCATCAGGTGACTTTGATGGGGACCTCGACATGATCTCCTTTGACCCCATGCTTATCGACCTCGTCAAAGCCACCGAAATTGGCATTGCCGCGATGGGCATGGAGGAGCACTTCCAAGCCGTGGACGCGAGGCGGGGCCAATGGCTTTTATTCATATTCACGCGTGTTTTTGAAATATGTTGAACCAAAGGCGTCAAAAGGCTTTTCTTGGAGGGAAAAAACCCTTCGGAAGGTTGTGGGAGGTGGTCGAAGAACTGAAGCAGAAGAAGAAAGCAGAGGCTGAAGCAGCGGGCCAGGAGGTTGCACCCGAAGAAGACCTGGTCGGCGCCACAACAACGGCCGAAGAAGCAGCGGAGGTGTACATCAGGCACGTGGCCCGGGTCCCCACCCCAGCCGTCCGGGGCCGGGCTTGTGCATCTGCTGAGAGGGTGACCGAGGCAGTTTTACAGGACGTAGATGTAGCCACCCAGCTTCCAAATTGCTTGCTGGGTCTTGCAGGTGGCTTTCGTCTGGCACAGCTCGGGTCCAAGGACGGTGCCGCAGCACTAAAAAAATATGGCAGTGAAGGACGGATCGGGCCCGCGGCCGGCAGCCCAGAGTGCCAAACGTTGCTTTCTGAACGCCTAGAAACTAGCTTCAAACCTTGCCTTTACTGGCTTTCGTCTGGCACAGCTCGGGTCCAAGGACGGTGCCGCAGCACTAAAACACCATGGCCGCGGCCGGGAGGCCAGAGTGCCAAACGTTGCTTTCTGAACGCCTAGAAACTATAGCTGCAAACCTTGCCTTTACCTGCCGTCCTGCACTGCCAGCTTGCAAACTGCTTGCTGTGTGATCGGGCTCGCGGCCGGCAGCCCAGAGTGCCAAATGTTGCTTTCTGAACGCTTTGCCTTTACCTGCCGTTCTGCACTGCCAGCTGCCAAATTGCTTGCTGCGTCTTGCTCGGGTCCAAGCACGGTCCCGCAGGACTAAAACACCATGGCAGTGAAGGACGGATGGCCGGCAGCCCAGAGTGCCAAACGTTGCTTTCTGAACGCCTAGAAACTAGCTGCAAACCTTGCCTTTACCTGCCGTTCTGCATTGCCAGCTTCCAAATTGCTCGCTTTGTCTTGCAGGTGGCTTTCGTCTGGCACAGCTCGGGCCCAAGGACGGCGCCGCAGCACTAAAACACCATGGCAGTGAAGGACGGATCGGGCCCGCGGCCGGCAGCCCATAGTGCCAAACGTTGCTTTCTGAACTGCCTAGAGGCTAGCTTCAAACCCAACATGTCTTTTCGATTTGCTTGACAAAAGTTGCTTCTCTCACGCGCTCCC